CGGGCCGCGCGCGCCCCCGAGGGCAGGCGCGCGGGGCAAGACCGGCCCGGGCGCCCGAGACGGCGGGCTGCGGCCTGCCGGGGGCCCTGGACGCGGCCCGGCGCTCGTGCGCCCGGCGCCTGCTGCCGGAGGAGAAGGGGCGGGAGGGGGCGCGGCCCCGCGCCTGCGGGCGGAGCACCTCGGCTTCCCGGAGCGCGCTGGGCTGGCATCCTGCAGGCGGCCGGCCGGGGCTCCGGGTACCCCGCTCTTCTGCCCGAGGCGCCGCGCGACCCCGGAAGCTCCGGGCACCCGGCGCTGCGGTCGCGGGCCCTGAAGGGAGGTGCCCTCTGCCTCTGGCCAGGCGCCGGGGCCCGGAGCGCGCTCTGCGAGCCCAGCCGCCGGCCAGCAGCCTTCGCGGGCCCAGCCTGCGGCCGCTCGGGACAGGACCGTGGCCCGCGTCCAGCCCCGCGCGCATGCAGTCCGAAATGCCAAGCGCAGGGAGGGAGCAGCTGCTGACCTGCCTCCGGGGATCCTAGAAGTGTGTCTGGGAGTGAACCGGAGGGGCCCAGGCCCCTGGCGCACGCGCGTGGGGTGCTTCCTAGCCCCCAGCGCAGGTGCTGCGTGGCAAGACGCCAACTCTGCCCTGTACAAGGGCTGAACACTATTTGTCCTCATTACTTAATGTAGCAAGCCAGATGTCCCGTAACCTGAAACAGAGTTTCTCTAAACATGGTTTGTTGGAGTCTGTCGATTTCTGAGTCTAGTAAGAGGAGAGATTGTTTGGAGGAAATGGCAGCTGCTTTTTCCAAGCACAGGCAATGGTGCAGTGCAGCACTGGGATGGATGCCTCCCGGCCTAATTAGGTGGTCAGGCAGCTTGCGCAGCACAACTGTAGTGAATGTCAGTTTAATAAGTCCTGTGTCTAAATCCGTAAGTGTTGGTTCATGGTTGTGTTATGTGTTCTCCAAGAATGTTGAATCGGCGATTTTTACAGGGTAGTTAAGAATGTAGGAACCACGCTGCATCAGCTTGGCCTCCTGGTCCAGCATTGGCCACTTACTGGCCACCCTGCTGCCCTCAAGGCCTCGCAACGGCACCCTTCAGCCCAGGTTCTCCAGCAGTTTCCAACTTGCGTTGGAAACATTTCTGATGTCCTCAAGAAAGGTCAAAGTTAGCATGTTTATTTCTCTTGTGACTTGTAAATATAACTAAAGTGGCCCATGGAAATGATTACTGAAGCAGTTTTGTGTTTTTACATCTATGGGGAAGGCACGATCTCATATAGACAGTTGATTTTCAGTACTGCAGATATTATTCAGATAGCAGGATTACTTTGTATTTTGATTCCCTCATTCTGTTACTAAACATCCTAAGGTGGAAACTGTTGATAAATAATATTGCATTACCATTTTTGTTCCAACTTTTGCTCATTCACATAATCTATTTCAGTCAACATTTGCTGAAATCTGTTGATGTACTTTATTCAGGCTTCACAAGGAAGACAATTCTCTGTTGGTTTGGTGAATTTCTGATTAGTGGTTCAAAGGTTAAAGTTCCTTTGCCTCATTAAAGCTTCTGGCAGCAACTAGCATAATTTCCCTTCTGAAGCTGGGATATGACTAGTACTTCAGTGTTTTACGAGTAGGTCTGCACTTCTGAGGGACTCTTGTGGATTGTGTATGCAGTGCTTATTCATTGTGGAGCATGACCTTTCACGGTAGAAAGGGTTAGGGTTAGTAGAAAGGTACGCTATCACGTGGATTGCAACCCTATGGCATGGCGGGGGGGGGTGCTTCCTGCTGTGATCCGAGTTTGGATGAAGCCCCCACACCTTGATTTCCTTTCCAAAAAGGCTTACAGCTATAATGTAAATTGGAGTCACAGTCAGATAATTAAATAATTAGCACTCCAGGATCCTGATCCATATCTGGTTCTCAGGATTTTCTTTTGGGTAAAAAAAGAGAGACCAGGGTACTGGGGGGCCCTGTGCTAAATTTCTGAAGATTAAATACAGTGTGAAGACACTGATTCTCACTGTCCATTCCTGGGCGGTGGGAAAAGGGCATGGCAGAATCATATCTCCATTTATACGTTATACTAAATATGAGTTGCACTCTGTGGGTGAGTTTGCATGCCGCGACATCCCACCTGTGAAGAAGCTATGCAGTGTGGTTTGTTTATGAAGCAACCAATAGCGTGTGCAACAGGTGACGGAACTTGCTGGGAGTTGTGCCTTGCTTTCCCCCTGATCCTTTTCTGATGTGTCAGTGGCGCCTGCAGAAGGACCTGTCTTGCCTCACCTCCCCTTGCTAAGTGAGAGGCCTTCTGGACTTGCTACAGCTTCCCCCCACCCCCCTTCTTTCTCCCGGAGATCATTATCACTTTTTGCAATCTCCAAGCTGGCAGCCACTGACAGTCCCTCCAGAGTGTGTAAGTGACACAGTGAAGCAACTGTCCCTGATTCACCATCTTTTTTTCTTTAGAGGGGGGCTTAAATTTGTGCAAATATCTTTAGTCTGTTTTTCAATGATTACTATTTTTGGTCTTCCAGAAGTATACATGTGCGCTTTGCAAAATGAAAAGCCTTGCTTCATCCGTGTCCTGGGAGGCATGTCCTGTCCAAGCATAGGAGCCACTGCTCAGGAACATGGGTGAAGCAAGGCTACAAAGAGGAACATTTTTTACTTTGTGGCCTCTTGACAATAATCAAAAGGGGAGCAGCCAAAGGAAAGCAAAAGCGTGAGAGATATTTGCTCTTTAAAAGGGGTGGCCAGTGATCACCTCCTTCACAGTGAGATCCTCCATTTTTTGGTTTTTTGTTGGACTTGGCTCTTCTTTGTGTCTTAAATTTCTTACCCTTTCCCAAGAATCTAGGTGCTTGAGAAGGTAGAAAAATGTAATCCACCCATTTTTTTTTTAGGAACGCAGAATTTTGGCAGACGTCAAAGCTTTTCAAATGGGGGCATTGATAACGATAATCAAGGGGAGGATGTATGTGTCCCTGCCAAACGCTGCCCCCCACCCCAGCCACTATGTAAAAAATCGCACCTCACCTTGTCCTGGTCCTGCATTGCCTTTTAGAGCATAGGTATCACTTGACGGTTCCTCCTGTGAGATAGCCATGAACAGCAGGAGTTGGGATAAGCACACACCCTGCTTTAATCTGTGGCAGCTAGCGATCTGGGAGAGTCTTTTTGAGGGCTAAAAGCTGTAGTAGGAATGTTTTTAGAAGTGAAAAACAGAAAATTGTCCAGTCTTGACATAAGAACATAGACAGCAGGCTGCACTAGAGAAAATCAGTTGATTGCTACTTGCCCTGAAGTCTTTCTTTCATCTTTGTTATCCAAAAGAAGAACCTTTGGCATTCTTCCTAATTTCTCTTCACCATATGGAGTAATTAAAATGAAGTGTCTTTTTGTATGGGATGTTAATGTAGTTTTCAATTCTAGGACTGTCAGAATTGTGGATAAGAACATTTACATCGTACAAGGTGAAATCAATGCAGTAGTTGGGGCCATAAAGCGCAGCGCAAGATGGAGTACTCATACACATTTGGTAAGTGAATGTAGTAAAATGAATCAGGCATGCTAAAAGACCTGGAATACAGCGAGTGGTCCTGTAGCCCAAGGATATCATCTGGGCCCAACAGACAACTCGGTTTCCCAAATTGGAGACTGGAGGCAGAGCTCTGACCTTGTAGCTAGGAATCTACATTCCAGTCCCCTGCTTTCATCCTGCAGCCACTGTGGAAAGAATGGTGCTGGCTGCCTCTCTGAGAGAGAGGATAAATGGGGTGATCCAAGGGGAAGGGTGAAAATGGGCTGCCAGCATCTTGTCGGTATGCCAGCTGTTTTATGCCCTCCCTGGGGTGCCTGAGCGAGGAAGGCTGCCTGCCTGAAAGGCAGAGAGGGGTGTACTGGTAGCCCTGCTGGTCTTCCCATGCAGCGCTGGGAGCTTGCAAGCCTCCCGTTTGGGGGCGTGCGAGTGCCGAAGGGGCATTTGAGAGGACTTTGCCCCCAGTGCAGCACTGATGGTGTGGACTCTTGGCTACATGTGGCCAACAAGAGCATGTAAAGAGGGGCGTCTGCTGTGTGATAGAGTGAGAAGAGATGCATGTGAAATGACTCGCTGCATCTTATCTGGGATATCCCCAGGTTACATCATGAATATATGGCCGAATTACTTTGATTACATTGTTATTCCAGGCTTCTCCAAAGATGCTGAGGATGGTGACCATGGTTACTTTATTTCATGTATTGAATGGGTCGAAAGCCTGGGAGATTGACCCAAAGAGGCAGGGTTGGTATCTCCAGGTTAGAATGGTCTGTTCAGCCTAGTGGTACTCCAGGACCTTTGGCAGAGTCTTTCCCATCTGCCTTATGCACAGTCTTTAACAGGCAATTCCAGGGTTTGAACCTGATACGGTTCCATGCTCAGACCTGAGCGGTTTAAGACTCTTGTAAGTGTGAAGGTAAACCAGGGGTTCTGTTCCTGTAACAAGTCATGTGGGTGCTAATGAAGCGTAAAACATATTTGAGCTTTTTAAATGACGTCTTAGTATTTAGTATGTATGAGTGATTGTACCAGATTAGAAAATGGAGTTCATGTAATTATTTTTCACATTTCCTATTTCTGTAAACCACCAAGAGTAACATATAACCTCAAATAAACTCACCTAGTGGTTATATATTTGAACAGTATTTCCAGAGAGTGTTTATTGAAATAAGGTATAATTCCTTTTTTCTTTCTGAAGATTCAGTTTTGACTCACGAATGAATTGTCCATCTTTTTAGGATGAAGAGCGTGATCCACTGCTGCACAGTTTCAGTGTCTTAAAAGAAGTGCTGAATAACATAACAGGTAAGTGTTTAGGTTAATATTAGGTACTCAGAGGAGATGCTGTCGCCGCCATACTGCATTTATATTCCGCCTGTGAGGCACCCCAGGCGCCTTAAACAACCCTCCTCCACTCTGCTTGTAGTTTGTCAGCAACAGCTGTGTGAGGTAGGTGAGGCTGGGGCTGAGTCACCCAGTGAACTTCATGGCTGAGTAGGATTAGAAACCAGGTACTTCAGGTCACCTGTCCAGTGCTCTAACCAGCGAATACACACTGGTGTGTGTCTTGGTTGCAGTACTAACATACTGGGATGCGTGGTATGCTGGGAGCAGAACACCGGTGCATAACAACTGACATGCAGACCTGTTCGTGTGGTGTACCTGGCCTGCTCACTGCCCTTGTTAGTTGGTGTCATATATCTCTGTGGGAAGGGTATTGCATAAGCTGGGTACCAGCTGTAGGTTAGGGGTTGTTTCAGTAACCTTCTAGCTAATAGATAGATAGATAGATAGATAGATAGATAGATAGAGGACGAAGCCCTGTAGAGCTGGGAAACTACTCAGAATTTGTTTCAATGTACTTATTCAGCTCGTGCACTGCATAAAAGCAAATTTGGCGATGTGATGTCTGGGCTCACACGTCATGGCAAGTGGCCCCGCTTGGTTAGCACGGTTTGCAGTTGTTTGTCCCGAAGTGAACGTGAGTGGTACCTCGCCTCCCTCCAGCCACTCCCCCTGTCTCAGTCCCCCAGGTGCTATTCCAGGACACGCCGTAGGGAGCAATGAGCTCGAGCTTTGGTGGCTTGAGACGCTGCGCGCAGGCCAGCTCCCTGCAGCCGTCGGACAGCATCTGTGGCCCGCCCGAGCACCGTTCTGGCACGTGGCATTGGCAAATGGGGAGGGGGTGCTTCTCCCCTTTTCCCACTCCTGCTGGCCAGAGCGGTGAGTGCTGGGTGTCGGGTGCCTCTCTGGCAAGTGGGAGTGAGAAGGGGGCGGTGGGGGAATCAGCTGGGCCCGTCTCTCGCCTGCTGGGCTCTCGTGTGAGGGGCTTCCTTCTGCGGTGCCGGGGGTGGGCTGCAGGGAGGCCCCAGAGTGGCCTGGCTCCTTTCCCAGCGCTGACGAAGGTCTGTAGGGCAGGCGGTGGGTGGGAGCTCTGCCAGCCCCACGGAAGAGCAGCTGTCTGCTGCGCTCCCTGGCTCGCTGCTGGGCAATGGGGGCAGCGGCCCTTTTATCAGGCCACCTTTATGTTTTCAGAAATGGAGACCAAGCGTCGCTGTTCTGTCCCAGAATGCATTGCTGCATGGAATATGACACCCATTACATAGTCTGCAAATTCCCAGCTTGTGACTGAACCGAAACTGCAGCCTCATAGCTTTTCATGTTACCCGACTTGATGAAGAGAACTCGAGCTTTGCATAGTTTTGGCATTGCTGAAAGGGGCATGGTAGGAAGGAAAGAGGGCCCTTGTGGGTACACGAAAGCCCTATTCAGGTATTCAGCTGGACAGCAAAGACCAAAAGCATGAGTGGGGCAATGTCACAGAGGGCCGACGCATGCATGCTCCTTTTCGAAATATTGGAGCGGAACATATTTCAAAGGCAATAAGCTAAAATCCACCATGAGAGAATACTTTTATTAGAATAATCCAAAATTCTAGTCAGTTTTTCAAAACGTCTAGATCTGATACTTGTCCCTACAGTATAATCTAAGGTACAACTTACAATTTGCATTACAAAGAATAAAGTGTAATCCATTTAAAACTGCCCCTGTTTCTCTATAAAGTCTCATGATCAATTTCCCTTTCCCCTCCACTCTTCTCCCCCACCCTCCCCACACCTTATGACGAAATCACGAGATCCGGAAAGCATGTCCACAGTGTTATAGATTTCTGGTTGGCCTTTATGAATGTATAAGAGATTTTGGAATTTTTCTGATGGATCAACAGGGTAACTTTGTTTAATGTGCAATTCCGCTAAAAAGGAAAAACAAAGATCTGTATTTGGACTGCACTTGATTATGTTCTTCCTTCTTCCTTCCTCGTATTATATTCCTTAACCACCTCCCCCCACACTTTTAGCCCCAGTATACATAGGGCTGTCATGCGCCAGCATCAGAGCTCCCTCTGCTCCTCGCAGTACCTTCTCGTAACAGTGTCCGTGTCTGAGAGTGTATTGCCACTGAGGGTGCATTACTGCTAATGAACGTATGTCAACCGCCAACTTGCTCTCCACAGTTCTGGATTTTGCCTACAAAGCTACCTTGGAAACTGAAATGGTATTTCCCACGAAATTTATCTGGTTTTCTATCTGTTGTTTCACCCCTGCTATCCACTATTTTTCTCTTTCTCCTCTCTTCATCTCCCCTAATACTAAAAAGAAAAGAAAAGAACAGATCAGAAGAACAGAGTCACTTGTGTCGTCATAACAAGCTGCTCTGCCAAGACTTCATTTGTTTTACCTTTGTTGCATTCTTTGAGATTTGTTTACATATGGGTAACTGAAGTGGAGAGATGATGACAGCTCTGAACTCTCCTTACTGGATTGCAAAAATCATATGCCTCCCCTACAAAATACCTTTTTTCACCCTAATATCTAAAAGGGAGGCACACATTTCTTGAATCTGTTAAATGAGGGAAATTTGGGGAGATGTAGAAACCATGGGGTGGGCTTGTCGTGAGCGGAGCTGGCTGGTGCCGGAGGCCAGACTAGATGGCTCGGGAGGCCCATTCTGACTTGCTCTGTTTCTATGTTTCTGTGCTCATTAGTGCAGAACTGGGAGCGCAGCCACGCCTTAATGCTCAGCTGGGCTAGCCCCGACTCACTCCTCTCCTCAAAGAACAGAAACCCCTTAAAAAGTCATGGGGATACTTGGGTCCGCAGATGTTTTGGGCTGTAAATCCCAGCCACCATGTCCACTGGTCAGGGATTAGGGGAGTTGCAGGGCACTCGGTTGTCTGCCCCTGCTTGGGAGATACTCCCTTCTCCAATGTGGTCATGAGGGGGTCTGACTAAATGAGAAAGGAATCAGAAGAGGACTGTGTTGTGGCCGGGCTGTCGAGGAACTACTCCAGGGTTTGGTGCAGCTGTCTGCTGCTCTGGCACCTTGAAACTTCTGCAGCCACATCCTTTCTGCGTTTGTTCAGAAGCGGCTGGTGAACTCTAGTGCCACTGTGTAGGCCACTGGCATTATCCTGACACCCTGGCAGAAGAATCCAGTTTGGTTCTGGAAGCAGCAGCAGCAGCAGGAAAAGCTGCCAGGAGTGTTGCTGAAGCTCTGTGTGGCTGTGGAGGGGCAGAGAGTGCCATTTATCTGCGCCGCTGAGCCCACAAGGCGACCCTCTAATCGGCCAGCCCGGAGGCTTGGCAGGAAATCTGCCCCAGTCCAAGTGTTTTCACACCACAGATGTGGTTCCAGCATTGTGTGACTGACCTTAATGATCTCTTTATTTTTTAAATAGTACTAGCTTGTTACCTTGTCCTGCTGTTGCCCTGTCTAACTGACCAGACCTCAGTCAAGAGACAAGGAACCTTCCCAAGCTTGCTTTTCACTCCTCGGAGCCAACCTATTTTTCCTTTGGTTCTGAACAATTCTGGGTGTAGCCTTGGAGCCATCCATTTCTTTTCATCCTATTTTGAGCCCCACAAGTTACCTGGAGGTCGGGCAGTAGCAGTTCATTGCTTCTGCTGGGGCCTTGCCCCTGTTTGTGGGTCTCTTAAGAACACCTTGGGGTATGATGGGCACCTATTACGAGTCTTTGCTTGTACCAGATCATTTCCGGGGCCAGAGCCCTCTCTTCATATTGAAGCATTTTGTCCAGCAAGACCAAGTTGCCCTGTATAGCTAGAGAAAGGGGAGGGTCAGTGGCTTGAGGGTGGATCTTATTATTTACTAAGTTTCTCTAGGATGCTTGGTTCATTTGCTGCCATCTCGTGGTAGGGCTCGAAAAAGCCCTATCTAAAATCCCGCAGAGCCGCAGCCAGCCAGAGACAATGATAGTGGCTAGAGGGACCAGTGGTCAGCTTCATCTGTCTCTGTCCCTAGTAAAGCACTTCTTGAGTCCAGGGCCGGGTCGCCTCCATTGGGGTGAACACCGCAAGGCCATCCCCGGATGTACAGTTGGCAGCCATACCTCTAATTAAAGGCTCCTTACCAGCTGAGTTGATTGTGTGCACAGAAGTTCAAGAGAGCGTGTGAATGAGGATGCGTGGAAACACGTTGCTTGTCAAAAGACCATGTTGGTGCTTCTTGTGTAGGGCTAACATTGCCATATAATGCTGACTGAACATCTTTCCTAGAGAATCTTGATGCTGGGAATCAGACCTGGTGAGCTCTGCCTGATAGTGTTCAGGTATGTTCTCAGAGTCCTCTTGCTCTGGGAGGCAACTTTGAGGCAGTGTTCAGCTCTTGCCTATATTTGGTTAAAGCATTTCTTCAATTAAGTTATGGAAGCAATGACTTTCATATTCAAATTTATTCAAGCAGTAATCTTTGACATTTGAGTTAGCTTTTAGAACAGTTTTGCATTTATAGTAATATATATTCTGTATTTTCTCAGTCCCTACTGAATTTGTTTTAATCTGTTCTGGATGCAAATTTCCAACTGCTTTGTCTCACTTCTCCTCTTGTTCCTCTTTCCCTTTCCCCTCTGTGGACTATGTTTGATCAGGTGTGGCAGGAATATCCTTTCTCAAGCTGCGCCCTTTATATTAGTCAATATTACTCTTTTCTCCCTCCCATTCTCTTCCATCTCCTCTGAGCTTTATCAGTTGACTTATAATTTTGGAATTCTCATTGGAGTCTGTAATACAGTTTGTTCATTATTTAAACAAAATCTGTTTAATGAGCAGAGAGGGGCAATGTAAATGTTAGGCATGTTGCAGTAGGATACCTTGTTCTCCTTGGAGCTTTTGCTTATTTAACTGCTTAGGAATAATGTATGGGATGCCCAGATTTGGGATAGAAAGGTGAATACTCTGGGTCAGCCTGTGGTCTGAGGACAGGGGTGAGTATTCCTGCTCACCTGT